AATAGAGATTCAAAGGTTTGCAATACAGATTTCTGTTCCATATTCTTTATCCTCTAGCTCCCTTTAGTGTCCAACCTTAAAGGTCTCCTTATCATAAAAAAGCCAAAACAGTTGCCATTTTATTATGAGAAAGTATCTTCTAATTAATTCAAAGTTATAATTCCAAATCCCTCTGGCCCCTTAATCTTGCTAATGTTCCAAAATCCATATACTAAGCAACTTTTTGCTGCATAGTTCAAAAAATCATTTTCAAAACTTTTAAAATCAAATTTACACCATCATCCTCTAAGGAGGAAACTCTTATGATGAATACAGTAAAGCCTTGCCAGTCCGAAGGGTCTTAATCTCTCCAGTAAACAGGAAAAAAATTAATTCAAAAAAGTGATTAAGAAGTGAGGCTTGGTTGAGTGTAATGTCTGTAAAAGGCTGCTTTGCGAGTGTGAGCTTGATGCAATCGTTGTACATATAATAATCTTGCTGCAGTTACCATATAATAAGATCAGTCAGCCATGAGTTTTTTTCTAATTCGTTATCCATAAATCCCAGTAAAAAGAGTTCTGGTTTCTTTGCAATATTAATCTTTAAGAACCTTTGCATCATTGTGTGAATTTGTATCCAAAATTTCTTGACTTTCTCACAAGTCTACCATGCATGATAAAATGTCCCCTCATGTTTTTCACATTTCTACCACTGATTTGAAATACCTTTATACATTTTTGATAACTTCTCTGGTGTCATGTACCAACAATACATCATTTTATTAAAAAAATCTCTTAGATTATAACACAGTGTAAATTTAATACCAGTTACCCACATTCTCTCCCAGATATCCATCTCTATATTATGTCCAAAATTAATAGCCCATTTTGTCATCTTTAACATGGTCATCTTCTGCTTCAGATCTTAACAAAAGTTTATACATTTTTGCTATTATATGCTCATTTGTACATAATTCCATTTTATATTTTCAGTTCCAATTGTCCTTCTTTTAACTGTGCATATGAAAACCATTGAAAGCTATGTTCTTCTGCAGTCAGTCGTTCTCTTGACTTCATCTTAATTTCTCCCTCCTCCTGTATTAGTAAGTCTCGATATGTTAGCCATTTCTCTTTATCTGCTGTTTCTGTTCTGTAGAAGGTTTCTTGTGCTGAGGTCAATAAAGGTATCTTCGGGCACAACCTGGGTTTGTATTTATTCCTTACTGTCAATATAGCACTTCTCCAATAATTATTTTTTAAATCCATATTATCCTCCTCTCCACTCGTATGCGGCTTGCTCTGGCCTCCCAGGCCCTCCCCTAGCTTCCCCTAACTTGTGGGGGGCATCTCTCCATGATACTCCCACACTTCTTTCCTGGGACTCCCACTTCCTCCCTCTTAACCCATGCGTCTTGGGTTACTATGGCAACCGGGACTGCCAGGATTGTCGCTAAGCGATGCTTTATGACATCGTGCTTTATGACAGAAAATCCCAGTCCCAATTGCCATCATAACCCAAGGACTACTTGTATTTTTTGTTAACATTTTAGTCTTCTCTTTATTGATTTTAGATCCAGCTAATGCACCAAATTCCTTCAGCTTTTCCATTAATATGTCTATTCCTTCCAGGGGATTGTCAGCTATTCAGTGTTAAAATACATTCTCCAACCTCTTTTTGCTGCTTGTTTCACTCCAGGCATCAATAGCAAAATGTTTCTATCTCCAGCCCTGTACAGTTTCTCAAAGATCCTTGGAGCAGCGTCTGATGGGCCAAACTACATCCCTGCTTGGTCTCCCCACATCTGCTTGGGCCATTGTACGACAATTTTTGGCTACACATATAGCCAAAGTGGGCTGCTTCAGCCTCCATTTGTGTCCCTCAAAATGTGCTTCAAAGCACTGTAGAAAGGCAGATAACTCATGTACCTTTTGCACACAGTGTTCCCATTTCTTCCTAAAATGCTGAGCTGGAACAAGGAAGGGTGACATCAATCTACTTTCTGATGGGGGGGCGGGGGACAATAGTTAATAGAAACCATCCCATTTATGGTGCCTTGGGTATGTCCTAAAAAGGAAGGCACTCAAGGCTCAAAAGAAGTCGCTGAAACATGTTTAGGAATAATCTGTCCTGAGTGAACATAAAACAGTTTTCTGCTTTTAGGAATCATGTCCAAATGAAAACACACTCTGGTCATCCTAGCAAATGCAATTTAATTCAGTTCATACACAGCTGAATCACTTCACTTATTGTTTTATAATACTTATGTGTAGTTTTTTTGGCCAAAGGCCATCTCTACAGTATCTGCGGTTTTCATTAACATTGAATGGGAGACAGTAGAGGACAATGATTGATCTAAAATCTGGTAGGGTAAGATCATTTTTTTCTCAAAAAGAGGAGAAAAGCCGTAGAAGGTGCCAAGCTCTAACCCCGCTTCAGAAGCATATACCGTCCTTGCATATTTCTTTTCATTAGGAGCAGATGTAGCTGTTTGTTTTTCCCAGAGTAGTCACTCAGCAGTGGGAATGGCTCCCAGCCAGAGCAAGCACCCCCGATGTAGAGTGTAGGCAGGTGGTTTCCCAAAGCACCACGTGGTTTTTCAGCTAGATTACTGCACATCCTGAAGCAATAACCAGGCTGATCCTTCTTTTCCCTCTGCCATAGATGCAGCAGCTTGCTTGGGCAGGGCTGCTGTTCCATTTGTGGCTGCTCCGAACGGGTCCTGTTGCTCGGGGGCTCTGGCTGACGGAGCTGAGCGTGCTTGGAATGAAGTCACTTTGGAGCAGGAAGCTGTGTGGATGCTGGAGGTGCTCAGCGGTTCCTGGCGTTGCACCACTCTCCTTGCATCTCTGTCCCAGCTCCCCACATGTCGATCGCCTTGCAAGGGGAACTCTGTGGACCATGGGGAACACACAAGCTCCGGGCTATGCTGCTTGGTGGCATCGGCCCTTCTCTTTGCTCTCCCACTTAGCTTGCTCAGAGCAGGACAGAGATCCAGCAGCCATTGGGCACCCTCTTCCAGGTCCTGCAATGTGAACGTAGCCTCTGATTTGGCCCATTGTGTGTTTTGTGTGTCCCTGGCTTGTGTCGGTGGGTTTCTCAGAGCACTGATAACCAGTTTTCAATTTATTCTATGGAAGGGGATGGGGTGGGGTACTTCATTTGCATTGGTTTTTTTTTTAGCTCTTCTGTGATAACTTGTTGAATATTAAAGAGATATTTTGCTTCTATTGGGACATTTGTATACTTGCAACTATATTTCTGTACACAGCTGCAGTCAAGAATAAAACTTTGAAAGTTTTCATTTCACAGTGTATAACTCTGGTGTGCTGTTCTTTCCAGCATCTTCCATTTAATGTGCTGAAAGAAATCAGGAGCTTCACCTTCTCAGCAGTTTGCAAAGTACCTTCCTCGTGCTCAGTAGCTGAAAAACGGGGACTGTAGGAAGAGGCTCTTTGCACACACAGCCTACAAATCCCAGAGCCTCGTTTTTTCTGTTGCTGCTCAGCTGCTACTGGTTGCCATTTTGGGCTACATACCTGGCATTCCTCAGCAAAGTTTGGGGTTCTCTGGATGTTGTTGATGAATGGCTGCTGAATACCAACTGGCTCACCCAGGGAAGCGCATTGGGAGAAGTCCAGATCTCTGTCTTAGCAAAGCCAGTGGGGAGGCAACCTTTACATACACAGGAATTAAAATCTTAGGCTTGATGGGCTTCTGACCTTGACCTGCATTTGCTTTTCCACGTGGCAGGTGCCTGCACAGAGGGAGCACTTGGCTCTGCTTTATGTAATACGGTTTGAAAAATGCTTGTTATAACCCATAAACGTGTTGAAATAGAAGTGGGGGTGCCCAAGATGCAGTGTGGGCATTGAAGCTTTCGTTGTGACCCAAATGGCCAGATGAAGAGCGTCCTGCAAAATTGTCGGCATTGGTCCCTCTTAATTCTCCATTCTGAAACTCAGGTCAATAAAGCCAAGATGTCTCTTTCCCACAACCAAAGGCACTTTGCTTCTCTCTGCTTTCTGGGCTGCGCGGGTGCTCTTTTGCAAGAAGGCTAAAGCCATTTCTAAAGCAGACCGCCTCCCTTTTCATTGAAAGAGTATGGGAAAGAGAACCTGGTGGCCTTGATTCACCTATATATAGGCTTCTCATTTGAAAATAAAGTCCCTGCCAGAATTCTTGTATTATTTATTTAAACGTTTTCCTGTTCAGTCATATTACCTGAGTTCAGAGATATCTGCCCCTGCTGCATGCGCCTGCTTGTTCCGAAATCCCACGGCCTCTCCTCCAGGAGGCTGGAACGTGCGCAGAGCCGCCTTCTGCTGAACCTCTCCCGCCCCGGCACAAGCCATTGCTCTGCACTGTCCTCGCTGGGTGATGGTCTCAGCACAGAGAATTGTTCTTGCAAACGAACTGCTGTAGATCAGTTTGTCTAGTGTCTGTCCAAGGAACAGCTGTTCTTCCTTAGGCCTGTTTACACGACTGATCTGGGTTTGGTTAAGCTAAATGGTGGTCCTCCCGAGCAAGCACAAATGCAACTGTGAGCTGCTGGGCTTCAAACTGATAGTTTTTAAAGTGTTTGCATTTAGCCCCTCTATTTTGTCCGTGTGCAAAGACATTTCAGGCCATGTTTTACTAACCCAGAGGGGAGGCTAACTACCTGCCTCTTGTAATAGTATCCATGCAAAAGCTTGAGGGCTTCTGGCTCCACCCAGTTAGAATATTTAAAAACTGCGGTTTAATAAAGAGAATGGGAGTTCAGCGACAGGTCAGCTAACGCCCTCTTGAGGTTTGGGACTTTTAACTCCTATTAACTCAGGAGCCAGTGACGAGGGATTGTGGGGACAGGCCAAAGCAGAGAGCACCAGGTTGCCTATCCCAGGTGAAACAGGATCTACTGCACCTCTGACTCCGCAGTCGACCAAGGGAAAACGCAGTTCTGTAGCCAAAACAATTGTTTCACTGCTTCACACACACATACACAGCTCCACATACAGCCTTATAAACCTGGAGCGGCTGGGTTTGCTTTGAAAGTGCTTTTATTTCACTAAGAACGGTTATAGGCAGAAAAAGATGGGCAACGTATCGCTTCCTACCACTAGCACCTGTCAGGTTAGTCTCAACAGCTGGACTTTAAAAAGCAGGCACTGGCAGCTTCCTAACTACACAGAACAGAAAAGGCACACGGGGTTTAGGAAACGTGAGCACTGAGGGACTGCGAGCAGACCTCTGACCCCATTGGCGGGCAGCCCTTCAAGGCAGCCGTACCCCGATTCTGGCACCAAGACAAGGAACTAAGCTGAGGTGGAAAACCCGCCACCTGAAGGATCCTGCCTTGTCTTCTACTCTAGCTAGGTGCCCACTTGGGCAAGGGCAAGTTGAGAAGATGGGGGGGCGAGGGGGGGTCACAGCCACTACAATCCTACACTGCTTCCCAGCGGGACAGATATTGCTCCTGGGCTTTGACCTGGTGGTCTGGTGGGAACGGCTTCCCCAGATGCTGGCCGACTGTCAGCCCGTATTTCTCCTTTTCCTGCTCTTCCTGGACATCTTTCTTCAGCACGAAGCCCTTAGCAAAACTCAGTTCAAAGAGGCTGTTTGGGGCAAAGCTGAGGGGCTCCTCTTCCCAGATGGTCACCAGTCTCCTCTTCCAGTCCTCCAGGACTTGGGAACGTTCTTCCTCTGGGGTATGGGCAATACCGAAAGCAATCTGGGGAGCCAAGACTTGGAAGCCACAGAAACGAAGGGTGCCATTCTGCACGGGCGAGAACAAAAGCGACGTAAACCTTACCTGGAGCCACGGGAACTTTTCACATGTCTTGGAGGAACCGCTGGTCCCCTGAACGCCTGCACGTAAAAACTTTGGAAACCTAAGAGATGCCACTCGCCCAGGGGGCAGGGTGCCAGCTTTAGCATTACTGTACATGGAGCATCTCCTACCGTTCACGGTCAGACATGTTCTAGATAAACCTGAAGCTTCTATTTAAACAAGATGTTAAGTTCAACATCACCACCCTCAGTCGAGGAACTGAACTAAGTTTGTTCTCTGTCATCTTCTCTCACCTGTATTGGCCAGAGAAGGACGTTGATGTCTCCGTTGATGCCTGCTGGGGTGTACATGGAGCCCATCCCTCCAGTGGTGAAGGAGAGCACAGCCTTCTTCTTCTGTGGGGAACCAAAGCTCAGCCGGGCCCCAGCAGCCCCAGGTTCCCCTGGCAGGATCCCGGCGCAGGGCGTCAAGATACTGCTGCTGTTGCTGCCCAGTGGTCCCAACTCCAGCCCTGGGGGAGGAGGAGGGGTCTGGCACGTTCCTGGCACCAGAATGCCGCTGAGGCCTGGGGGCAGCTGCTAGCCAGCACGAGGGGGCCTTTCCAGGCACCCTTGGGGCAGGAAAGAGCGACAGCAGCAGCGCTTCCGCCAGCCGCAGCAAGGAGCCAGTGGGTTTGCGCAGGTGTGTGCCCACCCTGCTAGCGCGGCTCCTTTCTGGTTTGTTCTGCAGTCCCACCTTCGAGCAGCCCAAGGGGGCACTCCCTCCCGCACCTTCCACCGGACAGCCCACCTACCTGAAAGGGCCCCTGATTATACATGGCGCTGTAGGAGTAGGCAAAGCCCTCAATGAGGATCCGGTCGAACCACCCTTTCAAAATGGCCGGGAGGCCAAACCACTGGAGAGGGAACTGGAGGGCAAGCAGAGCTGAAGATCAACACCCACCCCCCCACACACCCCGCAGCAGTGCCTGCTTGCGCCGGCGGGGCGGACACCCTCCCACCTGCGCGGGACGGAGTGGAGCCACCAGCCTGGACCCAGGCTGCCGCACAGGATTCGCGTCTGGGCCTGGGTCTTGCGCCCCTTCCCAATGGAAGAAAGGAACTCTCCGGCTCAGCTCCGCGGAGGCTTGAGGGGGCTCCTGGGAGTGTTTCGGCCCCGGCGCGTTTCGCAAGGCTAAGCCCGGAGGGCTGAGAGATGCGCCCAGCCCCGCGGGAGGCGCCGGGCCTGGGGTCCTGGAGGCGTCCCAGCCCACCTGGAAGATGACGAGGTCGGCGGCTTCCAGCTTCTCCACCTCCCGCAGAATGTCGCTGCTAAGGCGGCCCTCCTTCCAGGCCAGCCCGGCCTCCTTCG